GACGGTAACTCCGGATACTCACATTAGACATGCCTGCCAGTTTCCTCTTCCTGTTCACACATTCTGCATAGAGGTGTGTCCACTAGCCCCATATTGTGAAGGTGTTTTCTTAGTTGACAGTGGCCAGTACATTTTTCCTGGTCATCGCCAGATATTTCTTCGGTGCCAGCCAGCTTCCCAGGGTCGCCGAGGGTGATCCTGGCAAGATTGCATCCTTTGATTTCATCCCATATCTTTAGGGATTGAGCATGGGTGTGAAGTTAGGCTAGTTCTGCAAGTGTCGAAGTCATCAGGCCACTGGGTCCTAAAATTTTTAGTCCAGCTTAAGAGTCGACAATGTGATTGCCTTTACTCCTGTCGTGGCCTTCAACTCACCTCAGAATAATTTTATTATCTACCAAGGCTTTGGCTAAATCTTGGTGGCACAGACAGTGGCCAGTACATTTTTCCTGGTCATCGCCAGATATTTCTTCGGTGCCAGCCAGCTTCCCAGGGTCGCCGAGGGTGATCCTGGCAAGATTGAATCCTTTGATTTCATCCCATATATTTAGGGATTGAGTATGGGTGTGAAGTTTGGCTAGTTCTGCAATTGTCGAAGTCATCAGGCCACTGGGTCCTAAAATTTTTAGTCCAGCTTAAGAGTCGACAATGTGATTGCCTTTACTCCTGTCGTGGCCTTTAACTCACCTCAGGATAATTTTATTATCTACCAAGGCTTTGGCTAAATCTTGTCGGCGCTTTTATTGCACATCTCGAACATACAAAATTTCAGCCTCCGAAAATATAGCGGCACGGAGAAACAGTGATAAAAAGGTAATTTTCATACGTTAACGCTCCCCTTTTACCCCCATGAAGGCGCCCCACTTGGAATATTGGAAAATACTTTCGTAGTGCGCATGTACGAGCTGAGGATCATCTATAAACCAAATTTTAGCTTCCTAGGACTCACCAGCAGGGATAAACAGAGATGAATTGAGTGTTAAGTGAGTGACTTTCGCATTTATATGTATAGATTATTCTAAATTGATTTTTTTTGTTCTTTGAAGCAACGGCCAATCACAATACTCACTTTGTAGCAATTTAAAAACATCACTTCTCTATCACTACTCGGTGTCTCATTGATCGGTTCATGTTCCATCAAAATACTCTTGTAGTGTATGTACTCCTTTCATCGCCCAACATATTGAGGTAGACAATAGGAAATTTCCCATCTCCTTCTACTAGAGTGCTTATCAGATGAATCATCGACGGCTATATAGTGATAACCAACCCCACGGAATGGCGATGAAAGTGGGAATTCATCCACTGACATATTGCCAATCGAATTTTCTTTTCTATTAAATGTCATTACGTAGAAATGCCTTTTGTGTAGAAGGCGACACGTTTGTCTTTATTAGATATTAAGTTTTGCCGGGTGGGTGGTTTGGATAAACCCCTTTGTTGCAGCGGTTCGACTTCGACAATAATAGGTTTCCATTATTTTCTTAGCACCGGTTTCAGCGTTGAATGAAACATAATTGGAAATATGTACCTTCAATTAATTTTCAATATTTGTAACGTGATTGTTCGAATACGGTACGGATAATTTTTCCGTTTTGCTATTTTATTGGTCACATTGGAATTTACGAAGTTTGAAACAGGTTGAATAAGCCGCAATTCTATCTTATTTCTATCATTTTCCACATATCCACCGTTGTCACTTGGAAAAGTCCGCTATTCAAATAAATTAAATCGTTCATTTACCCATCTAAGCAACAGAATGTCCCAAAACATTATCATGCATAGTGCACGTGATCTCCCAGATGAGGCCGCTTGTACAGAGTAGCACTAAGGAACGACAGATTTTTTTAACAATATGCGGCTGATTATAGGACATTATTTTAGGTGGAATGTAGGGACACAAATTAGCAGTTTCTTAAGCCGTATCGGTACTTGACGTTTTAAAAATTGTATACTTTAAAATACCGTATATGTACACAGTACAGGCGTTAAAATATAACTGATCACTCCGACACTGTAACAATGAATTATTTCGTCAGCCGATTGCAGTTGAATCTGATTGGCGAGCGAAAGGACGCTTGTTCACTTTACCCAATAGATGCAAATGTGCGTGGTGATCATGCTTTGATCACGCATCTATCTTTTTACGGGTTACTTTGTTTCTTGGATGGATATAGTTTAGGCCATTGGGGTCTACCGAGATTTAAAGACCTTGATTACACTGTGTGTTCATATATCTGGTGTCTGTAGAGTAGGGAGGGTGAGTGTAGGCCCACAGCAATTAGGCCACATGTGTCCCATTGTACATTCTCCCGAGGAGTTGTCCTTCGAGGTCATCGTCCATCCTGTCCTTTCCAGGAAGGTGAACAGGTCACTAGGAGACATCTCTTCAATATTGGCATGTGTAGGCCAAGACTCGCCGAACACACACTCTCTTAGGCAACCTTGAGGTGTCTCACGGTGGCCTCCACGAAGGTTTTGGAAGGTGCAGTGATATAACTGTCGTTGCGCGACTTCTTCAACCTTCTTGGGGTTCCCTCCATGGAGGTGCACAAGTGAGGGAGATTTCCTGCAGGGACAGCCGGTTCCTTGCCTTTATTCAAAGCGGAGCTCTTGGCGCCCGCCGCAGGAAGTGTCCTTGCTGTTGGAGGTGATCTGCTATGTCCAGCCTCATTTCAAGCGGTAGATTGGGGTGGACATTTCTCTTCATCCCTAGCCACCGTCTTCGATTGAGGTGAGTACTTCTGTCCAGCCTCAGGATTGGTTTTTGTTATTGTTGATTCTGTTGTTTCATTCATGTGTGTTCCCACGAGTAGCAAGGGAAGAATTGGTCACCTCCGGCAGAGCCCCGCATTACCAGAGGTAGGCTGACTACAATGAAGTTTCGCCCAGTTCCCCAAGGGGATCGTTCGTGACCGCGTATCACCCTGCGGCCATTCAGCTGTCGGCACGATTCCTTACACCTTAGCTTGGGTAGGCTGGTACACGGTGGCAGGTTTTGCAAAGACTTATGGGGAGTTTTATTTCCCCTCACCCTACTTATTTCTGCCACTGACCAGGAGTCCGGCGAACCCGTCCGTAAGGCCACATTGGCCGTTCCCCTATCCGCCACCTGGGTACGCGTCCTACAGGCCAACCCACAAGCACTGTGTGTTCAATTTCAGCCACTTAAATTCAACTTACTGTTTTAGCCTCATATAAGAAAAACATCATACGTTTCTGTATTACATCCATATATCACTAGCAGTTGGAGGATGGAATTTCCACAGATTACTCCAACACGTAACTTTATTTACTAGTTTCGCAAAGTTCAATAAACTATAGCAGCTGCTAAGTATGAGCCATCTTTCTAATCCAGTAGTAATTTTTTTCTGAAACCTAACTGTCTGTAACTAATGGTACGTGATTTTCACTTACTCTGGACACTCGGATTCCTTTCACTATTGATATTTCAGTTGTTTTAGCAATGATTTACACTAATGGTTTTCAATCTATGTGGCATTCTTCATTTCTGTTGTATCCTGACAGCTACGACACATTTATTGAATGGCATCAACTTCCCGCTGAGAAAATTGAAAATTTTCAAAAAAAGAGGAAAAATTTCCATTCAAGTGATTCCATCAAATAATTTTCGAAATTTTGAGCTCGAAGAAGCGAGAAGTTGTAAGTATGACCTGCAGGATTAACCGTTTTTCGGATTTTTTTTACTTATTTTATTTCTCTTCAACTCATGAGTAGAAATTACAAATTACACATAAAAAAGTAATGCCACTAAAATGCTCGATCAAATCAAAAATTGATAGGAAATGGAAACTTGCAATCATCAAGGCTTTCTGATATATTAAAAACAATATTATTATGTTTGTGCAAGTAATCTTAGTCAAAATGCAAAAAATGTACGGGAGGAATAATGTAAAAGTTGCTGTCCCATTAAAATTTGGATATTTTTCAAACTTTATTGTGGGGGTTTTGTGGAGGCCTCAGGGCAGCCTGGACTTGACTATCATTGATATTAAGTATTTGTGGTGAAGTAGGCGAGTGTCAAACATGTTTTATCGCTTGCATCGCAAAATATCTGCAAATCTATCGAAAAGAGAAATGAAAATTTCTATGTTTTTTACCACTTTTAATCGTAACTAACGTTACTGCAGTTTCGTCCTATATGGACATTCTCAAACTAATACAATAAGTTTGAGAATGTATTATTTTGATAATAACCATATAGGACGAAACTGCAGTAACATTAGTTACAATTAAAAGTGGTAAAAAACATAGAAATTTTCATTTCTCTTTTCATTATGATCTCCTACCACGTAGTAACGGCTACATCCATCAATTTATTGAAGCAAATCTATCGTTTGGCGGCAAGGAATTCTTGGGCAATAATAACTATCAACCATGACTATCAACAGTGAGAGTTTTTGAATGTCAGGCTTTCTTTACCATGTAGGTATTATTCAAATCACCGAAAATTAACACTCTAATATTTCGTACGGTTTTAATGATGATTCATTCATCACCGGAATATTTATTGAATCAGGTACTCCCACTCCTCTGAACAAGTTAAAAATGTTAATAATGTAAGAAAATAATTCCTAATATTATTTTTCAAGCCCTTCCGTAAGTCATTTCTCTGTAATTGTTAAATAAAAGCATATGAAATGAACGACGTCCAAAATAATATTTATCACATTGCTGATACAACCGGAACACACGTCTCGAAAAGCCCGCACCTATGAAATAAAATGAATTATAAATAAAAGCCTGGAGAAATACCGGAATGCAGAGAAGTGCAAGCTTTACACGATCTAGGGACTTTCGAGCATGTTCATCGCTGTACGCAGTCGCAAGTTGGCCACACTGGCGTTCGCCAAGTCTGTTTTACACCGCAGTCGAGCTTTTACACCACTGAAACGCTTTAATTGGAGTTATATCGAATGATCCTTCAGAACTGCATTTCTATATTTTGTGACTTCATGAAAGGTAATTTAAACTTTCCTGTCGAATCAACTAGTCGAATTCATTTCAGTATTTGTGAAAACTAGGGCGAATCAAAAGTGATATATTTTTATAGCGTGAATCTGGCTATCTAAAGATTATTGTGAGTTCAGTGGTCTTGGAGTTGGAGATGCTGTATCAAAGTAGTCCTTGTCGGATCGTTGTAGTGTCGTTATTCGCCAAAACCTCACAATTTATATAAAAACACGCACTAATTACTAATAATTTGGGAACAAAATCCACGGACATCAAACGTTAAACTAGTGAAGACTGATAACCTTTGGATTTTGATTCATAACTACTCAAAAAATACATCATTTTTCAAAAAAGTGCGGCCGCGAAAAGTGACAAGTGTGAATTGTTATTTTTTCAGCCAAACTGTATGAAATTAGTTGCTTTTGAGTAGTCAAATCGTAAATTAAGGTGTCTTCAGAGAGTTCCTGGATTATTTTTCAAGGATTCTGTGAAAAACTATGTAAAATGTGATACTCCTTTCGTCTTTAACAGGTAATCAAATTTCAAGCCATTGATTATTTTAAATGTATTCAGTGTCAACTGTCCGTTGTTTATTGAGACTGGCCATTGATTCTCGTATCTACCTAAAATGGCTCGTGGTCTTGTCAAGTTCAATTTAAAACGATTCCTGTTGAATTATTTTAACCTGAAGTTCAAAATGGCTGACAGCAGTGGTATTTTATACCTCATGTATAAAAAAGACCAAGGTGTGCTGAAACGAAATACCAATACCTTTTATATATAGTCTCTGAATAAAATGTGGCTCATTACTGCCCGACTGCTCCAATGTAATATATTTCATTTGAATTGATCAACTAAAATACCTGAATGATTTTAGCAATTCAACTTCTGATGGGCGTAACGCAGAATATATGAAAACACCTGTGAAAATTCTTCGTGATTTGGTTTCGTCATTTTCTTAGTAGAGATGGAAAACACTTTTTATTATAGAAAAAAAACCTAGTGAGTAGTCATAAAAGAGGGCGGCGATCTCTCTGATAAAAAATTTACTGATTCTTTCAAAATAGGAGTAGGTACCCATATTTGAAATTCTCATGATAGGTTTTCTGTTCTATTTCTGGATTACTTTCAATCTTAGGTGAGTCATTGAGAAAGAAAATCTATGATCATATCAACAGATGTAGGGTTTGATGTAGGGTTGTTGTGGAATTGGTCGCGGTGGTAGTGCACTCGACTCACGATTCCCGTCTCGACCAGACATTTTTCTCACGAGAATGTACCTGGTTGAAGCGGGGATGATTCTGCAACCGTGTTAGGAATCACACGTTAAAAGGTAAGATCTCGTTAGTCCTTAGCTCGCACAATTTTCTCAACTTCTGAGAGTTGTCGTTCGTATGGGGGCGACAGCTGATTAACGGAAAAACAAATTTTAAAACAAATTTTTAAACAAACATGATCTTCTGTTCTAATAAAATTTTCGTTGAACCTGTGATCAGTGGATACAATTCAACAATAAATCGAATCGAAATCAATTTGGTTCTGCCAGCTCAAGGACAAAGCTAACAGAACAGACTGACTTCAAAAAACACCACACGGAATTTTGGCGATAGATGAAATAGCCTTAAATTATAGAGTTAATTCAACTTTTGAGTATAGAACCCACGATATCTCCAGACATAAAAAAAAAGAAAATCCAAAGTGGTTCTGCTAGCTGGAATTGGAGTTAAAACTACCTTGAACAATTTTGAAACATCACTCTTTCTTTCTTATTTATTGTGAAGTTTCTGCTTTTCTTCACTAATTCCTCTGGTTCTTTTTTATTATGTAATGACTTCATTCCTATCGGCTCGACAGTTAGAGACCAGATAGTATTGTTTCTATTTGCCATCGATCTCGTCAGTAGTAGTCCGGATTATAAGTACAAGGTTTGAACTCATTCTGTTTTAAAAAAACCTTATATAATGAGTGGCGATGACGATTTCTCTTATTTGACACCATATGAGATTGACAGAAAATTCAAAAACCACTAATATCAAAGATAAGCGAAGGTCGGCGGTGATGCTAGGTTTAACAAAAAACCTCCGGTGAACCCTTGTTTATCTGCGATAAATACTCATGGTGATCCCGTAGATGACGTGAGGGGAGTGTCTGCCACTTCTTACTATAATCGGTGTTTTGGCTATCAACGCAAAAATTGCAGGGGTAGTGAAAATATCAGGAAGTGGAAACTGTCGTATGTCAAAAGAATCATTAAAATAGATTGTTAAAAAAATGTAGCACCCATCATTAAGTAAATAATCTAAATTGTTCGTTACAGAGCATCCATTTCTTGGCCAATATTTTTCTGCGGTAAGGTCAATGTTCCTAATGAGAATACACCAGAGAAGCAGAGAACTGAAATTACGTGAAAATCTTCTCCATTCCTGTTATTATATATCTGCCTTCAAATAACATGCGTGTTGAATTAGAAACATAGTCCCTCGTATATTATAGCTAGGAATACTAAGTAGGAATATATTCTGGTTGTGAGGTGGGGCTGGTACAGTGCTAGGGGCTACTGAGCTTTATCGGATGATCTACTTCGAGCATGGCTGTTATGGGTTATTTTTGAAATAGGGTTTTACCGCATGGTGTTTTAAGTGGTTACTAGAACCTGGTATAATGTGTTAGCGGGAGCTATTTTTATACTATTTTGCGACTTTACTTCTTGTACATGTTAGGTTAGGCCTATACAGTTGACCTTACATGTACCGTTAGATTGTTTATCTTTGATAGTTCTAAATAAAAGTCCACGATATCATATATCTACCTCTTATGTGGTAGCCACTATATGCAAAATACTGATTCAGAATTAAAATGGATACTTTTTTTACAATGCTCATTTTAGAATATCTGTCAAATTCCTATAAAAGTTGATACAATTGTCGTATCGTTTAAAAGTTATCATGATAAGATTAACTTGACGCAACGCAGTAAACCATTACGCGTCGCGTCTACTGTGAGACGACGGGGGACAATGCGTGAGGGTAGAGGAGCGGTCTAAGCAATGAAGCGTCATCGCCGAGAACGCGATATCTACGCGGTCAGACGCGTGAGGGCAGACGTCGTTGATGGTTGTGTTAGTTTTGCGAATTTCTTTATAGATAACATAATTCGATTCTCGAAGCTATTCATTACTTAGTGCAGTTGGCATATTATTTTAGTTACTGTACTTTTAAAGTAAATATATAAATTACTAGCTGTTGCTCGCAGCTTCGCTCGCGTAGAATTTGGTTTGTCACATTAAGTTTCGTGACTGACTATTTTAAACAAATAGTTACAATATTTTTTTATCAACCCAAAACTTCAGATTTCCAACTTCAAAACTGACGAAATTGACTGACACTTTATTAACGTACAGCCGAAGCAACTGAACCTGGAATCTTGAAATATGCAGGTAGGTTCTTTGTATAGCGTAAATAATCATCAAGAAAGGGAATACGGATTTTCCACACCCAAGGGGCAAAAATAGGGGTTCAATGATTGTATTGAAGCGTCAGCGCCATCTGTTACTTTTTCTGACTTCCGTTAGCTTGAAACTCCTGCACAGTTTATGTAGAATTTAGTAGACCTGTTTATAGTGTGTTTTCATGTTACAAAATATTCTTATTACACAAAGTGTGATACGAAAACTGCAATAATTTCCAGAGAATTCCTTAATGGGGATTTTTCCGTTATTTAATGAGCTGTAATACGTAATATAATGGATGTAATTCTATTAATCATTTTATTGAGGGGATGTGCAAAGCTATCCCTTATAAAAATGAATAGACAATTGAAAGAATATATTTTTTAATTTTACTGAAATTGCCTTTCTGACTTTATAGAGGCCTGGTAATCGTTAGTTATAGAATTCGAAATATGAAATTGAATATTCCTCTGCCAAACATCGCAAACCAGTCACCGTGACCATCTGGTACTAGTGATATGATTTACGAAGTGAATGCGAACAGCAATTCTTGAAAAATAACTTCAAAGATATGCCCAAGCCGGTTGTCATTTTATAAAATTTATTATAATTTTTTTTCAACCAACTACTACTTACTTTCACATGTATTACATCCTCCGCATTTAAATGAACATGCATTCTATTGTATAACGAATGGGGAATGCATAATAACCAGGTATAAATTAATTTTCTTCAGACCATGAAAATTATTGTATGTGTTACAGTTATTATTAAACTTGTACCGAGCATTTATTTGCATATTTTTATGTTCAAAAAGTAATAAATGCTCTAAAAATTAGTCTTTAATTGATAGGTTTCCTGTCTGCAATGAAAGATCGTTTTATTGTTTTCTCTTTCCTAACTATATATCTCGTTCACTGCAGACAGTGTCATTGAGAATTATTTCGTTTTATTGGTATCACTCAAAGGAGAGATAAAGATATATATCTGCACTCTTTAACAAGTTGAAATGAAATATAAATTCTTTCACACCTGCATCCAACTTGGATCAAGATATTTTTCAATGAACTATATTTTAGTAATTGTCTGATCATTCATTTATGAAAAAAAAATTTCAGAAGAGATCAGTTTTGGAAAAAAAAAACTTCGTGGTTTACTACTTACTATGTATACATAAAAATGTATCGGGGTATCGTTTTGGTCTATCTTTTCATGACATATATTCGAACAATCTTGTTTAGTGTAGGTACTAATTTGTCTAGGTCTTTTGTTGGATGTTTTTCATATACTTCAGTATATTATCTTGATCCCGTATCTTACATTCGCTCCAAACATAAGGAGCTGTATCTGTTCCTCTTGCATTTCCAGCAGCTAGGGTTTTCGTTGAACAGCCATATTTTCTTCAGGTGTCCTCAAAATGGATGGTGTCTGGTGAGTAGTCCGACATTTATAATGGACTGATCTCTGCTCTGGTATGACAGTTTTCTGGTTCCTTTCCCATAAGCAAAATTTTCCATTATTTTTTATGTATTTGCAGTTCTGGTGATTTTGGTACTTTCATAGCTACCCTAAGTGCCAACTTTTCTTCATTGTCTATGACTCCTTGTTATTTTACCCAGAACAGGGTATGTTCCTTTCTGCCACTTATTTCAGTTCTTGTACGACATTCCCAAGCTCATTTCGATTAATGTCTTGGTTTCATCAGCGCTCTGAGTGTAGCATCTTGGTTTGTGTAAGAATATTGATCCGATCACATTGATATTCCTTTCAGTGTTATTACATGATTGCCTGCACTTCTGCCTGAAAGATGGATGTGTGTATCAACTGGCCAGGTGACTGTAATATATATTTCTGTCCTTACAGTATATTCCAACTCTTGACCCTTGATTTGTTTTCGACTCATGGTGATCATACCTATACAGTTTTTTCGAGGAAAGTGTTGTCATATGATCTTATTTTTTTCATGCCATTTCAGTCCAAAATGGCATTCTCTTACCTCCTCCATTTTCACAAGGAGGTAGATTCAGGAATGTCTCCAATGCTGCTGCTTGCATGATGGTCGTCACCTTGATCAGTTTGTTAA